TGAAGTAATGTATTCATAATTTTGTTTTGTTAGATAAATATTTAAGCTATCAAGTCCTAAAAATAGGAATGTAAATGCGAGACCATGATCTTCTAAAATATGGGATATTTGTGTTATGAGCAATCATAAAAAGATATAAAAAATATAAAGCAAGACAGAAATGAGACTGAAAATAGAGCTTTACTATGATAGTACAATATAATATGCTGAAGGCTTCAGTTGCTGGAACAAAAGTATTTGGTAAAGTTGTTTTGCCTATTTATTAGAAGGTTAGAGTATTCTCGGGCAATTTTTTTTTTTTTAAGTTTTATTTCTACTTTATCTTTTTTGGTAGCTTTCAAATTACGTGCATATTAAAATGATATTGGCAGTATTTTTGGTCATGCTTAGGATGATAAAAATATTGTTTAGGCTGAATTAAGCTTTTGCTGAGTTAATGCTGGGTAAAGACTGTCTAGGAGGCGACTTAGATAACATGAGTTAATGGGATGAATGTGTGGAAACTGATAAATAATCATGTTATAAATAAGAAGATCCTGTATGAGAAGTTGGGAATGATATGTTCTATCTATTAAGGAAAATATGTACACATTTATGGCCAGATAAGATTTGTGAAAATTTGATTGGTAATTTTTGGTATGCTGAATTGTTCTGTTGCATTAAGCAATCTATCTTTGTTTGTTTGTTTGTGTGTTTGTTTGTTCGGAAACCAATAAAGAAACTATTCAAAAAAAATCTTAAGAGGAAAATAATTAACCACACTGAAAGAACGACTTATAAAATAACTAATCGCAGTTATAAATAACTGCAACTATCTTTGGCATACATAAACCCCCCTATTTTCCAAGTATCCATGAGAATTTAATAATCTTTCTGCTTTTAGTTACAGAAATGCTAATTGCTTGAACTTGGAAAAGCAAACTTACACCTGCCATAAACATTTGGCATATATAATGCAAGTGTAATAAGTATTCTTTTCCTCTTGTAAAAGTTATGTTAAAAACTTAAGGTTATATGATATGGCTTATTAGTATACAGACTACATTGACCTCTTCTTGCTATATTTGACTGACTTGCTAAAATTCTTAATCTCAAACTACATGAAAACATCCTAGATTGTGATTAAGGCCACAATCCTTTTTAAAAAACACCACTTTCCTAGGAGTAAGTCACACTGAATAAAATGAGATTTCTGAACTGCTCTGCTGAGGCTAGCTCCCTGGGGAATACAATTACCTTTACTCAGCCTTTATCAAAAATGTTATGAAAAATTTGAAATAAAACAGGCAAAAAGACCAAGAGAAGCTGTTTATGTTTTGGCTGAGTCAGCGGTTGAGAGGCATCAGAGATACCTCTTGGACACATTTTTGTTACAGAGTAATAAATATATTGCTTCTTGCCTGGAGCATCTTGAAAACAGGTCTGTTGGAATCTGCTCTGCGTCTAATGCATAAGGCAGGCCTTGTGCTCTCCTCTAACACCAACAGCATTCCAAAAAGACAAGCCAGTGCAGCATCGACACCAAATAGGGCTGCCAAGTGGGGGTGGGTGGCGGGTAAAACCCCACTTTGGAGGCCCGATTTCCGCCGCCGCGGAATCGGGCACCGGGGGGAACTCCGCCCCCCAAGTGCAGCGTGGCTGCGTCACCAGAGGTGACGCAACCACGTCGATTACGTTGGGGGCGTGGCCCCGATCGTCTATGGTTTTCCCTCCAACGATTGGGGCCATGCCCCCAACGTGACCAACCTCGCGTGTCACTTCCGGGACGTGCTGGCGGCACGCACGTCGGAGGAGAGCTCCCGGAGCCCGACGACGCTCCCCCACCGGTAAGGATATTCGACTTGGCAACCCTAACACCAAACACTGGCAGGGTCTTAAGAACATGACCTGAAAACACCTGCTCCCCCCCCCACCTCGAGTTTTCTTTTGGTAACATCTGGCCTGATGAAGAGTTCTGATGAGCTCAAAGCTTGCACACTGTTACACGTCATTGGGCTGGTCTCAAGAAAAGCTGTTACATGGATTGTGTTGCTGGTTACAATGCAGCCCACAGTGAGTTCTGTCCGAATCTGCTTCAAGTCCTCCAGGACAATCCAGAGAGCTGTTCTGGTTGATGAAAGCACTTTACTCCTCTCTAACTGGACATCAGCACAGAGCCGGCAACAGCTGACTGCACCAACAAAGCACCAACAAAACATTTCCTGCTGGCTGCTCACCAGAATCAGAACTTTCACATTACTCTGTTGGAAAGTTCACACAGCCCCATTGCTTTCCTGGCATGGGGCTCTCCCTGTTTACCCACCTGGTGTGTCCATGACGTTGAAGAGAAACGATTTGCCTTTGGTGTCTGGAAGAACAATGGTCACTGGAGTGCTCTTGATCCCAACTCCCCTCTGGGTGGAAAAAAGGTCACGATTAGGAATGGGGGGTTCCCCATGCAGCTGAGCAGTGAGGACATGATGCAGGAGGAGAGGAAAGACAAACCCAGGGGTCATTTCCTGCGAGAGCGTACAGGAGCGGAGCTCCGACAGTAAAGAGCCCAGGGGCCCGGCACATGTGACAAGCCCCATCCCCTGCTCCCAGCAGCCCTCAGCCAGAGCAAGAAGCAGCCAGGTAAGTTGCAGGGCCTCCCCCGGCCCCCGGTCCAAAACAGTCCAGTGGCACCTTTAAGACCAAGTTTTAATCTGGTACAAGCTCTCCCTCCTCTGCCAGGACAGATCTAGTCCAGTGGCACCTTTAAAGCCAAGGTTTATTCAGGTACAAGCTCTTCCTCCTCTGTGAGGGCAGATCTGCATGTCCCCCCCCCAATAGTTAGCAATCCAAAGCAGTCCAGTGGCGCCTGAGCGGTGGGTGTTGCCTTCTGACACACTTCTGGTGATGTCAGGGGGTGTAGCGTATGCAAATAAGTTATGCTAATGAGCTCCTGCACCTCTTTTTCTACGAAATGACCCCTGGACAAACCAAACAGGGCATAGATTCCTGGCAGTACAATATTGCCACACGATGGTCACATGACGACGTTGAAAGAAGACTGGTGGGGGGGTGGGGGGGGGGGGGGTAGCAAAAACATCCAGGAAAGCCATCGTCAGTGCTTAGCAAAAGGAGTTCAAAACATATTCAAATTCCTGTTCAAATCACCATTTTGTAGTGTCATTCTGTCATTAGCTGGGGTATTCCCCCCCCACAGGTGACTATAACTATTTTCTGTTATCATTTTGGCATCTTTGTTAAGCTGCCTTGAGTCTTTTTTTAGGAGAAAAGTGCCGTGTGTGTGTGTGTGTGTTAGACACATACGTATGTATTTGAAATGAAATAAAATACTCCCTTTGCCCTGTTAATAACGAAGGTACCAGAAGTCCCATGTTAGCTCACAGGTCTTCAGAGGAGGCCTGGCTGTGTATTCTCCATTTCCAAAAGTCACAAGAGCAGTTTAATCTTGGGCCTCTTCCTCGGCGGCACGCTTCCTCTGGGGTCGCCCCCCCCCCCCCGGATGCGCCTGGCTGGTTTTCTCGTGATTCTTAGATGACTAATTAAATCCTCCTTCCCTCCCATCTCCAAGGGGATATCACAGTCTTGGAGGAAAAGTGTAGAACAAGGTGAAAGAGCCCGAGGCAGTTGGTGGGCTCTGCAAGGTAGGTGCACTTACCTCTTGTTCAGTGAACAGGATATCTGTATAGCAAAGCTGTGGGGGGGAAAACACAAGCTCAGACTGTATCGCCAAAGTATGAATTTTTTGTTCCGTGCCTCTCAATTTCCTCTTTGATCACGTTAGTGTCAGAACCCACAGCTTACAACGACGTACACGCATTCAGGAACGGTTATACTTTTATTGCAAAGCTATAGATGCAGTAACAAAGGCACTGTTAGGAATGGCGGCTAACCATAGAACCAGATAGGATATAGGGCATTCGTATGCACCCCCCGCCCCCATAGTATGGGCCAATAAGGCACCCTCCCGCGCGCGGGCACAGTTAGAAAACTGTTAGGTGGCGAAAGCTGGGAATCGGGAATCTCTCACGATGGATGAGAGACCTCTAGACTATACAACGTCCTCCTGAGCATCTGTAGAGATAAGCGTTACAGCCAAGGGATAGCGAAAGGGAAAAGGAATGCAATAGCAATTAACAAGACACAGAGTAACTTCCCAACCCCCATGGCAGCATAGCTGACAGAGAAACATAGAAAGAGAGGGAAGGACCCAGAGAGAGGACATTGCTTACCTGACTAGTCATGGAGCTAGAGAAGCAAAACGGCCAGTAGAGGTTTACCGGGGGGGGATGAGAAGGGCACCAGCGTACAAAGCATTTTTACAGAGCAACAAACAAAAGAGAGGTGCCTGGCCAAAGGAATTTACAATCTAAACTACAACGGCAGATGAGACGACAGAAGAGTGGAAGGAAGAGAACGGCAAGGGAAGACATGTGACAACATACAGTTACAGGGTAGGAACACGTGAGAAAAAGGAGACCAAAGGCTTCATGATAAAAATGGGCTTTGAGACAGAGAAGATGGCCCTGCACAGGTGTTCAGAGAGGCAGTTCCAGTCATGATGGAACAGGACAAGAACGTCTGTGTGTGTGTGTGTGTGTCCGTCCAGCATGATAGATATAATGGCAAAGTTAAGGGCAGAGAAAGAGGCAAGGAGGGCTTTAGCCCTGAGGAATTGGGGGGGGGGGGGCTTATGCTGGATGCAGAAGGGGACGGGGAGCCAGCCTAGGGATTTTACGAAGGACTGATCCAAACAGGGATGTAGTTAAGGCTGTTGCTTAATTGACTGCAGAGCACTTTGGTCAAGAGGAGGTTTACAGGATTTCTGTCAGCCATCCTCACATCCCTACCTATGAAGATTACTTTTATGTTTCTTTTAGATGAAGGAAACCAGGCATTAGTTAACAGCCACTTGTAAACTCCGTGTGTTAATGGCACTTCTACTGCAGAGGACCTCTTTATTTACAGCAGGAGTTCTTGGCCTTTTGGAGTATGAGGACCCCCTTCTGCACATAAAAAGACAACCTGTGGACCCCTCCACATGACAGTAGCATCCACTGGACACATAACAAAAAAATAAAAATGACAATGCTTAGTAGTGTGTATACGGATTCATGGATCCCTTACAATAACTCCATGGGCCCCCAGCACCCCGGGTGAGAGCCACTGATTTAGAGAAAGATTAGTCTTGTTCTCTCTCTTCTTCTCATCTTGTGTGCCTAGGCTGCAAAGTCTTCCAGCAGGGATCTACCCAACGTCTCCCTGATGTCTTAGATTTCTAGAAGCAGGGAATTCTACTAAACCAGAGGAGCAAACATGTGACTACCAGGATGAAGTGGTACAACCCAGATACAGGCTTCTCCGCTCTGTGAGAACTGGGTCTTCTTACACAGGACACAGTATGCTAATTGGGTGAAGAGGGAAGGGCCCTGTGACTTATTTCCTGTTCTAGGTGTCGCATCCCATGCATATTATGATCACAAATCTTCCACTCCAAATACAATCAACTTACATCCTGGTCGTATCGCTTCCTAATCTCAGGATGAGTCTGCTCAATCATGCAATCGACAAAGCAAGTCTGAAAAGGCAACAGAAAAGCAAGAGGTAACACAACTGGACTGACTCACCAACCAGCCAAATGAATTCAGTTCCGATTTACACAAAGAATTTATCAGTGCCACAGTTAATACATGCAGACAACAGTTAATGCATGCAGCCTATTTTTCTGCCTATAAGCAAAATTTTTATATTACTCAGAATACACATTATGTAAAGCACAAAAAAAAATTGAGAACTTAAAAAAAAAATTCCAGTAGAAAAACTGGGAAATATTAAGGAAACCTCCTACGAAGTATTTTTTTTCTTTTACTGTGAGAAACACCTTGTCTTATACAACACTTCACTCTTTCTAAATGTGCAGCATGGAAAAGTCTGAGGACTTTCTCAGTTTTACAAGGGAAAAAATGGAAAATGCAGGGAAGCATTAAAAATACTTGTACTGTAGCAATATATAATATTTACAAGATTTTTTGTTTAGATTTGTAATTTTTACAATAATTAATAAGCTATAATGTGTTTAACAGTAATACATTATTAAAGGAGTTCAGTGCTTTACTAAAGTCAGGGCTATTTTTGGGCAGGAACGCACAGGAACGGAGTTCCGGCTGGCTTCCGAATTGGCCACACTCAGCAGGAACTAATTAGCATAAAAGGCCACACCCAACAGCAGAAACTCATTAGGCTTGGCTACATTAGGGGTGTGTGGCCTAACATGCAAAGAAGTTCCTGCTACAAAAAAAGCCCTGGGTTGTCCCTCTGGCATTTGACAAATCTGCTGTACTTTACTTTATTCCAAGTAACCCAAC